GGGGCCCCGCCCGGCCCCGGCCCCGGCCCCGCTCCCGCCGCCTGCGCCGCTCCGGCCGCTCCCCCGCCCCCCTCCCGCCGGCGGGGCCTGACTACGTCACGCCGCGCGCGACCCGCCCGCCGCCGACATCTGGGGGGGGGGGCGGGCGGGGGGGGCCCGGGGGGGGGGGGGGGCGCGGGAGGGGAAGCGGGGCCCGGCGGGGAGCCCGGAGCCGCCGCCGCCGCCATGTTGGGGCCGCCCCGTTCCCCCCCCTCCCCCAAGCGCCCGCCCCGCCGGCGGCCGCCGCCGCCGCCCCTCCGCCCCGCGCGGCGCGCGATGATGACGTCAATGGCGGGTCGCCGCCGCCATGTTGAGTGTGGCGGGGAGGGGAGGGAAGGAGGCGCCGAGACCTTCCCGGAGGGAGGTGGGAGCGGCGCGCGCGGGGCGCGTCATCACAGGGCGACGGCGGGACCGCGCCGCCATGTTGGGGGGTGAGGGGAAGGTCGGGGAGGGGGGGAAGGGGCGGCCCGGGGGGACCCCCGGGGGTGTCACCGACCCTGAAGGGATCCTGGGGGACCCCCGGGGGTGTCACTGCACCAAAGAGACCCCTGAGGGACCCCCGAGGTTGTCACTGCACCAAACGGACCCCTGAGGGACCCCCGGGGGTGTCACTGACCCTGAAGGGATCCTGGGGGACCCTGAGGGACCCCTGGGGGTGTCACTGCACCAAAGAGACCCCTGAGGGACCCCCGGGGGTGTCACCGACCCTGAAGGGATCCTGAGGGACCCCCGGGGGTCTCACTGCACCAAATGGACCCCTGCGGGACCCCCGGCGGTGTCACTGCACCAAAGAGACCCCTGAGGGAGCCCCGGCGGTGTCACCGACCCTGAAGGGACCCTGAGGGACCCCCGGGGGTGTCACTGCACCAAAGAGACCCCAGAGGGACCCCCGGGGGTGTCACCGACCCTGAGGGAACCCGAGGGACCCCCGGGGTCGGTCACTGTCCTAGAGGGTCCCATGTCCCCCAAGGGACCCCCGGGGTCTGTCACTGTTCCAAAGGTCCCCGAGGACCCCGAGGTGTCCCCCAGTGTCCCATGGCCCTGTCCCAAAGGACTCGCATGGCCCTGCTGTCCCCAAAGTGTCCCCATGGCCCTGCCATCCCTGTCATTGTCCCCAAAGTGTCCCCATGGCTTTGTCACCCCATCCCTGTCCCTGCCCCAGGTCCCGGGATGTCCCAGGCAGGCACAGGGACCTGGGGACAGGCTGGGACTGGGGACAGCCTGGGGTTGGGGACAGTTTGGGACTGGGGCAGTCTGGGACTGGGGACAGCCTGGGATTGGGGACAGTTTGGGGCTGGGGACAGTCTGGGACTGGGAACAGTTTGGGATTGGGGACAGTTTGGGGCTGGGGACAGTCTGGGACTGGGGACAGAGAGAGCCTCGAGTGGTGCCAGGACACAACCGAACCCTTGGTGACAGTGACACTGATGCTGTTTATTCCCATGGGATTGGGATTAAACACCCTTCGGAATCCCCTCAGAGCAGGTTGGGGACGGGGCTGCAGGGACACCCTGAGGACATTCTGGGGACACTTTGGGGCACCCTGGGGACACTTTGGGACACAGGTCACACGCTGGTGGCCTGGGCCTCGTCCCTGCTCTCGTCCCAGCCCCGCGCTGGGCCCCGGGGTCTCGTCCTGCCGGGGGGTCCCAGGGCCTGGGCCAGGATCCCGCTCAGCTCCGACTGCTCCCGCTCCAGCGCCGACAGCCGCCGCTCCTGTGGGGACACCGGTGTCACCCTGTGTCACCCCTGTGTCACCCATGTCACCTGTGTCACCCATGTCACCCCCATGTCACCCCCATGTCACCCCCTTCTCCCCATGTCATCCCATGTCACCAGTGTCTGCCCATGTCACCCTCATGTCACCCCCATGTCCCCCATGTCACCTGTGTCACCTGATGTCACCCCATGTCACCCATGTCACCCCATGTCCCCTATGGCATCCTATGTCACCCCATGTCACCAGTGTCTGCCCATGTCACCCCATGTTACCAGTGTCTGCCCATGTCACCCCCATGTCACCTGTGTCACCCCATGTCACCCCATGTCCCCTATGTCATCCTATGTCACCCCATGTCACCCCATGTTACCAGTGAGTGTCCATGTCACCTCCATGTCATCCTGTGTCACCTGTGTCCCCATGTCACCTGTGTCAACCATGTCCCCCATGTCATCTGTGTGTCCCCATGTCACCTGTGTCACTCTGTTCCCCCCATGTCCCCCCATGTCCCCCCTGCGTCCCCCCAAATGTCCCCAGTGCCCCCAGTGTCCCCCAGTGTCCCCGTGTCCCCCTCCCAGCTCCCACCAGCTCCCGGTTCTTCTCCTCGCTGCTCTTCAGCCTCTCCAGGTCCTTTTTCCTGGTGCCTTCAGCCGCCGTCAGCCTGGAATTGGGATGGGCTGAGACCCCAGGGGGGCACCCACGGGATGGGGACACCCACAGCTTTGGGGGCACCCCTGTTTTGGGACAGTCCTGTGTTGGGACACCCCTGTTTTGGGCAGCCCTTGTTGTAGGACACCCCATTTTGGGACACCTCTGTTTTGGGACACTCCCTGTTTTGGGACACCCCTGTTTTGGGACACTCCCTGTTTTGGGACACCCCTGTTTTGGGCACCCCCTGTTGTGGGACACCCTATTTTGGGACACTCCCGTGTTGGGACACTCCCTGTGTTGGGACACTCCCTGTTTTGAGTCCCCCCTTTTTGGGAACAACCCCTATTTTGGGTCACCCCCTGTTCTGGGTCACCCCCTTTTTTGCGTCACCCTCAGTTCTGGGTCACTCCCTGTTTTGGATTTCCCCGTTTGAGTCCCCCCCTCTTTTGGGACACCCCCTTTTTTGAGTCCCCCCCCTGTTTTGGGTCACCCCCTCTTTGGGGTCCCCCCCTCTTTGGGGACACCCCTTGTAGGACACCCCCAGTTTGGGTCACGCCCTGTTTTGGGCACCCCCACTTTGGGACATCCCTTTTCTCGTGTCACCCCTCACCCCCTGCTCTGGGTCCCCCCGATTTTGGGTCCCCCCCCATGTCCCCACCTGGCCCCCAGGTTGGCGGCTCGGGCGTTTCCTTCCTCCAGCTGCTGCCGGAGCCTCTCCAGCCGCTCCCGGTGCTGCTCCTCGGCGCGTCCCGCCCGCGCCTCCGCCCGCTCCAGCCGCTCCCGCAGCTCCGACACCTCGTCCCGCAGCGCCTCCAGCAGCCGCCCGTGCTGGGGAGGGGGGCACCGACGGTCACCGGGGGGGGTCCCGGGGGGCTCTGGGGGGGCCGCCGCCCGCCCCCGTTACCTTCTCGAGCGGGCGCAGCGCGTAGAGCTCGCCCCGCGCCTCCGTGTCCTCCGCCAAGCGCTGCCACGGCACCGTCGACTTGCGGGGCAGCGACGCCGACGAGCGCAGCTTCCCGCGGGCCTGCGGGCACCGGGGCACCGCGTCAGGGCCGCCGGGCACCTCGGAGCACTGGGGAGTGCCACCGGACCCCTCGGAGCACTGGGGA